AATATGAGCAATGCTTTTTAGTATCAAATATGACTGACGATACATTATTTCATTTGCCGGCAATACTTGAATTCAATGACCTAGAACCAAAACATCTTGTAAACTTTCCTACACCTACAGTTACATTGACGGAAGCGTTTTATACGAGTTTGGCTGAAGCTGTAGTACAGAACTTGCCTCAAGGAAGAAAAAAGCAACACAATGATCGAAGTAGCGGGTATTCAGTGAAAGAAGTGGAAACTAAAAGTACTCAGACTGAAAGCATGGAAGATGGTCATGTTTTGAGAGATTCAGATGATTTGCTAAAACTATTCAAGGACAAAAGATTTCAATATGTGACACTGCGCACACCATCTAAGGATTTCGCTGTTCACAAAACCATTCTTTGCGCGAGATCTACAGTTTTCAACGCCATGTTAGAAAAAAATGCCGTAGTTGATATTGACGACGTACACAGTGACACTTTGTCTGTACTATTGCAGTATTTGTACCAGGAATCGATACAAATCAATGATCTAGAATGGGACGTAGTACTGAAGCTCTATTATGCAGCTGCTAAGTATCAGATAACACAGTTGAAGAGAGATTGCTGTTCCTATTTGAAGAAAAATTCAACTGATGAGAATGTCTGCGATCCTTCCATTCTTGAGGACATGGAACAAGAGTCAGAAATTCAAGAAACAGTGCTAGAAAACATTGCCTCGGAGGAAAGAGAAGTAACCTCGAATGGAAGCTGGTGTTTTTAATTGTAAGAAATCATTAAAGGAACATTAACTTATAGTCTGAGGTTACGTAACTACTATCATGTTTTACAAATAATTGTGAAATTGAAGAACAAATAAAAAGTTTGATTGTGTTGAGAATTATCGTCTGCTTAATTTTTAACTATGATCTAGTTCATAAAATTAATTTTGTTTTGTTTTTTTGAGATTGTTTGTTCTTTTTTTGTGGAGAAGAAACAAAATGGCTTTGAGTTAATATTTATTTATTCTTTAACATTAATTATATTTATATTTACGCCATTTTGTATCTTTGATTGTTTCAAGTTTTATTGATGAAGCTAGTATTTTATATTATTGTAAATATAGAACTGTAAATTAAATAATTTCGTATGTTGTTAAGTTATTTTATGGAATAATCAAGAACACTGACATGGTTAACTAATTCTGATTCGATGTGCGAAACGGAATTTAGTGTTCTTGATAATGCTTTTATAAATCATTGGACATCTGTTTTCTCTCTCTCTCTCTCTCTCTCTCTCTCTCTCTATACGTTATAAGAGAAAAATATTTTTTAAAGAGAGAAAAAAGATTCATGGGGGAGGAGGGGAAAGGTTGTTCTTCTAACGATATGCAAGCACTCAATTTTATCCAGCTTTCTAACAAACTGGGGGTATAGAATCAATATTTTTTGAAAATTATTCCACGTATAAAAATATCGTTTTAATAGTTTAACACGGCGGTTCCCATTTTTTTCCCGATTACAGAACCCTAAATAATCAATCTTCCTTCAATGGAACTCCGATTTTATAAATGAAATTTATTAATTAAATTAATTGTGTACGTTATAACCAATAAAAAACTATTTTTAAATATTTAATTAC